TCTCTCTCTCTCTCTCTCTCTCTCTCTCTCTCTCTCTCTCTCTCTCTCTCTCTCTCTCTCTGTCTCTCGCCGTAGCGGTATCTTCAGCGCAGCAGGTGGTAACCCAATCTTGTATCACTCATCTCTCTCTCTCTCTCTTAGCCTTCTCCTTCTTCGTGGTCTCCTCGCAGGTGCGCGACGGCTCCTTCCTCCTCAGGTCCGCTATGGCAGACTTCTCCTTCCAGCGGCCACCTCAGCTATGGCGCATCGGCCCTGCACAGAACGGCACGCATGGGATAGCGGGAACCAGTTCTAATACCAGTGCAATCTGACTCGACTTATTCACACTTTTTATGCACGTGAACAGCAGCACAACAACTGGCGACATGCGCCCACACAATACACATAGATATGACTTCTAGGCAAGTTCACTTCCACTGGCTATGGCTTTTGAGCGCCCAACATCCACTGTTCACACCCTGGATCACCCTGGATATCCCACACTCGACACTCTCCACACTCACATCACGCGCACACACACACTACTATAGCTATGGCAGCGCTATCTGCCACTACCCTATCGCTATACTACACTTCTCTGCCCACTTCGACTTCGGGCAGACCTCCTCGCACAAGGCGCCGAGGCAGCTCTTCCGCTTGGCTTCCACAGGAATGAATGAATGGCTGTGCGCAGCCTCTTGATTTATACTTCTGTGAAGCGTTGGTCTGCCCTATTTCCCTGGCCCACGGTATACACAGTCCCAGACGGTACTTGTTGGACAGGACCGGACTGGCTGGACTGGGGTTGTTGACTCAGTGTGGTGGACCTACACCACTTGACCACTTGCCTCTGCCGAAACATGGCTGACTCCGAAAGGCCACTTCTAGAACATTCTACTTTGGCCTTTCGGTAATGTAGCAGCTACGACTCTGCCCTTTCAGGTAAGTAGCAGCTACGACTTTGACCCTTCGAACAGTCTACAGGGTCCTACCTACCACTGGCGGTCCTACAGGTCGCAGGTTCAAGACCTCTAGACTGCCTAGACTCCTACCCGACAGACCTACAGTTCGAGTCCTCTATGCCTTGTAACCTACAAGGTCCTACCTACCACTGGCGGTTCTACAGGTCGCAGGTTCAAACCTACGAGTTGACACATTTAGTGTACACAGGTAAGGCGAACTAAGGTGGGGTACTAGGGATCGAGCCCTGGAATCTGCATCAGCTACTGCGAAGTGGTGAATACCGTTTCAGGGAGTGCCATGATACAGGAGGCCATTTTGGGTGGAGGAAGAGCTATGCTAATCGTCTATGTTCCTACACCTGGCCTCAAATGAAACCTTATTGCATCGCATATGTGCAAGGTTGTCAAGTGTGTCAACGAAACAAGAGCACCACGCAGCCTCCCCTCGGTCTCCTTCAGCCTTTGCCCATTCCAACAGTTTCAGGAGACTTTGTGTCCATCGCTTTTATGGACACAAAGGTGAAAAGCAGGAACGGGAAAACCCAAGTTATGGTTATTGTTGACAAATTTAGTAAATTTGTCGTCTTTGTGGCATTACCTTCGGAAGCTAGAACCGGCTTGGTAATTCGTGAATTCTTTAATCACTGGGTGAAAGATTATGAACATCCCTTGACTATAGTTAGTGACAGAGACGCGCGATTCACAAGTGAACAATGGCAGCGGTTGATGAATGTTTATGGCTCTAAATTGACAATATCGATAGGGCGGCATCCTGAGACGAATGGGCAAACTGAGCAAATTAACAAGATTCTGCAGCAAACAGTGCGTATGTATATTCGTCCTGACCAGATTGATTAGGATGAGCATTCGCCTTAAGTTGCTAGTGCCTATAATAACTCTGTACACTTATCTACTTGCAGAACTCCGATGGAGTTGCATCTGGGAGGGCGTCCCCGCAAACCTATAGATTGTTTGAATCCGGATCAAGTACACAAACTTCCGTTGGGAACGCGAGAATTCTCAATGCAATACCAAAGGGATCTAGAAAAAGTAAAATGGAACATAGTCAAATCTCAACATCAGATGAATGAACAGGCAAATAAACATAAAAGACCTTCTCAGTTTACTATAGGCGATCTGGTATGGGTTAAATCTAAAGAGTTTATCCCAGAAGAGAACATCTCTCAAAAGTTGCTACCCGCCTACAGAGGACCATGGCAAGTATTGGATGTGATAGGAGACATGGACGGACCATCCTACGTTATTGAGATTCCTCTACACCTACATACGTATACGGTGTTTCGTGCGTGAAAGCTCTTACCGTGTGTTACTAATGAACTGTTTCCCAGTCAGAGGTCAACAATTCCTCTGAGTATGGATGGAAAATTTGATGTTGATAAGATCGTTGCTGAAAGTACTATTCAGACTGGATGCAGATGTAGACCTCAACGACAATATAAAGTCAGATTTGCCTATCAAGATCCGAGTGAAGACTGCTGGTTTAGTAGGGACGAGCTAATTGAATCAGCATCGCACATTGTATCTGCTTATGAAAGAGCGAGAAGAGGAATTATGAAAGAGCGAGAAGAGGAATTAATATTGTGGATAGGTAAGAACTTTCCAAGAGGACTTTGAAATTAGGCTAGCGAGAGTAAAAGTGCCTTTACGAATCAGACCCCGAACGGATGCCCCAACAGCGAGGGGCCCTGTCGGCCATAACTCAACTTCACGAGCAGCAACTCAAAAGAAAAAGTTCCTGAGGTAAAAGTCACATCTATAATGAAGTGGAAAGTCATTTTGAAAGGTCACAATAGGACCTCAACGAACAGGTATTGGACACAATTTTCAAGACTGAGTTAGGGTCATGTCTCCTCGATGAAAAGCCATGTCTGTTTGGCAACGAGTCAAAGGCTACAGTCCCAGTCCAGTCATAATCCATACGAGTCAGTCCTGATTCAAACCAGGAGTCCAAAAGACAGGCCCGATGACCCAAAGCAGCAGCAGACCATGGGAAAAGATACTGGGACACACACTTAAACAATCGGTACTGGGCAGGAGTCCCAGGCATATTGAGGCTGAATGAAGGCCACGACAGACCAGTCCAGCACTATAAAGGTCTGGCCAGCCTCCCATTTGGACAGATGCTAACTTCGCATGAGAGTGTGGAAGTTTCGTGGCACTTGTGGGCTAGATATGTGTGAGCTGTGTTGTCGAGCGCATCGGTGCGGCACCACACAAGGCAGCACGGGACCCTCCCGGCCGCATCACACAGAAGTCGGTCTGGTCCTCGTCACAAATGCATATGGACCTTCCGCAAGCCGCTCCGAACGAGTGCGCTAGCCATACCTCTCACGAGCCCCTACGACAGGATTGGGCCTACACGAGGCACGACTTACCTCCACCTTACGGTAGCTGTCACCTCCCTTCGGTCGGTGTATCCCTGTCGAGCTACCAATCCATAGTACGAAAGCTAATCAGTTGCAATCGCAGAGGTGGACCAGTTGAGGGTGTTTCTCGTTCGTTGTAGCATAGGGGGTACGCGCAGTATTACGCCTCTATTGAACCCGCTCGGGAACCGGTATC